TGAGTGCCCTTCTTTAAGTAAGAGGCACTCGAACTAACATAACAGTACACATCAGCATTCTCAACAAGTACAAAGACTGAAATACCCCTTCACTAACACCACTAACAGGGTTCAAGACTGATAACAGTCCTGAACTTCTACTCCCTCAAACAGCCTTGAAACAGTGCTTAATGGTAGTAAAAAACTTCTCAAAGAATCCTTTAACATCCAAAGCAACAAACTGAATCATAGCTGGTAGATACAACCTGCTCTATTAGTTTGAAAGAGAGAAGACCAAGAGTTTCAAGGGTGTCAAAATGTGATAATCGGCCCCCACCCCCAAAGGTGTACATATACATATTAAAATGTACAATTACAAAGAGGCCCTTAAAGGGCTGAAAGAGAAAAATAAAAGAATAGAAAGAATAAGACTATAGTACAACAGGGCTATATCACTACTGCACATCAAGTGTCTCCACAGTTGGGAGGCTAGGGTTTTGTAGGCTTTGGCATTGCCATCCTCATCACATTTCCAATTCATATTCTGATAATGATCTAACTCCTAGATTGAAGTCAGATCTGAGTAGTACACTGAGAGACTTCTCTCCCCTTGTTTACATGTCGTGGATGCAGCTTGCAACTGATAGATTTTTGCATAGTGCCTTTGTTCTGAATAGGTGGATTTTGCTTGTTCTTAGATTTCAACAGCTGTATCATCCCACATAAAGTTTTTTCTCACCTGTGGTAGCATAGATACAAGCAGCCACAACATCACCATATTATTTTCTTGGTCCCACTTGTCATCTTCAGCACTCCCAAACTTTGGTTCTTTAACTTTTCCGTTAATGTACCCTATCTTTCCCCTTGCAGTGATATAGAGTCTAATTCCCTTCGACCACTCTAGATAATTAAGGCCATCTAGAGGAATAACAGCCATGGGAAAGCTCATGTCCACACTCCCACTCAGTCCACCTTGACTAAAAGACACACCTGAGGTTTCTGTAGTTTCACAAGACATGGTGTGCCAACTTGAATTCACTGTTCATCCACAAAAAACATGGTTCTCAACCACAAACAAAACAAAAGGAAAAAAAACACCAATAACACCAATTTTGGTACAGGACAGCACTACTGGGAGCCAGAAACACTGTACTGCAGAGTTTTCAATCCTGGACAGGCCCTATGATTACAGTGAGTCACTTAAAAGGGCCACACAATCACCGCAGCCACCAAAATAACTATCTACCAACTGCTGTTACAGCAACAACCAATCATCCCAGATCTACGGATCCCACATACCTGGATGCAAGAGGATTACATGACCCATACAGTTGTTAAAAAACACCCAAAAAACTTCACAGCATTCAGCCATCACAAAAAAATAAGCTTTATCTTGGCACACAACTAAGAAATAAAGGGGGAAGATGAGAGAAACTTCTCTCAGGCCAATCTGATATAAATCCTGCTGAAATCAAACTGGAAATCCACAAGTAATAAAAAACCAGATCGATCTGTCTTCAGGCCCACAAAGACTGCTCTTTTACAATGTTTTCTTGATAAAACTAGGAGAAAAGGAGGAATAAAGGAGAAGAGAGAAGAGAAGGGAGAGGAGAAGAGAGGAAGACAGAAAGATTAACAAATAGAATATAAAAAATGACTGTAGTGCCCTTGCGACACATATTACATAGCTATTAGCAGATTTAACAAATAGAATGGTAGATAAAGATCCTCATGGTGCAGTGTTGACACTTTCTTGGTGAAGTCCATTGTTTGATGATTGCTTCCTCTCCTGGAAACCACACGGTTTCCCCATATGCATAATAGACAATTCTTATGTGGGTAACATGATCTGTTTGCTTGAAGCCACTAACTGTAGTTTACTAGACATTTCACCTAAATATTCACATTTGCCTTGTTATATAAGGCTATTATACTTGGTAAGAGATATGTTAATTGATGCTTTGTTTTCCTTACAGCTCCAGAAACTTGTAGCTGAAAATGTCCTTGCATTCAATGAGAGTTTTTGGATAAGGCTTGCAGCAAGAACTGAAACATGCAAATCTGAGGATGATAAAGCATGGTCTTTGACTTGTTTGATTTTGAATCACTATTTTTATGTTTAAAAGATAATTTCAAGTTTGGCTTTATTGGTTCTCGCTGTATGTTGGAAGTTCTAAACTTTGCACAATATTTTTTTTTCCTATTGCAGAAAGATTACGAGGAATTGGCTTTATCTGTAATGAGCATAGTGGATCGCCTAGTTCATAAGACCAATGTAAATTTCTCCACTCTCCTAAAATCATCAAAATGAGGTTATTTAACCATATCTGAGTATTGGAAGAATCATATATAATAATTTCTTTATGGTATTAGTTTTCTCATGAAGTTGTTGGGTTGGTGATTTGGGCATGTCCTTTATTTCCTATAATTGGAGCATATCCCTATTAAAAGTGCTGTTATAGAAAAATTAGAGTAATCACTGTAATGATTTTTTTTTTGAGAAAAGGTAAGGTAAATTTTATTGATATAAAATACTAGTACAAAGAAATCCCCCCAAGGAAAACACCTTAGAAGGGAAAACAACCCAAACAGAACAAGATTACAGATGCCATAGGCTCCTAGAATTCAGCCTAGCCCCCAACTGAGAAGCCTGAATCCCCTTCGAAGCCGAGACCCAAGAAATCAACTTTCCAAAAGAAATGGATATCAGGTGCAGAGACAGTGAGAAGATCTAGCCACAGGGTTATTTTTGTACTTGTACTTCTTTTGTTGTACATCTATCTTTTCTGTACTCTTTCTTTTGTACACTAAGGGCAGATTTGTCCTTTTATTTTCTTTAATATAAATATTTCTTTTAGGGTGTTGACAGTCACTAGGTGACACACCCACCAAACTGCTGTGATTCTCTTTTTCCTCTCTCTTTGTCTTTTCAATCTGACTCTAATATGGTATTAGAGCAGGTCACAATTTGATCTGCATATAGTCTCTTTTCAATCCCTTCTTTTACTACTGTCTCAAGAACTCCCTAACAGTATTTGGGAGGCTCTTGAGTGCCTTTGAATCTTCTCTTTAGGGCAGCTTCTGATCAGAACTTTATAGATCACTTTTCTGGACTGTTGCGCCATCAGATTTCTTTTTCTCCTTGGATCTCTTTGTAGAGACATCAGATCAGCTTGAAATTTTAGATCTGGTGTTGCCCAGAGCAAATCTATTGAATCCTTTTGGTTTGGTTTGGATCAGCTTTGGTCCACTTCTGAGTTCGACAGAATATTATAATTACTGTTTTTGGACATCGGCTGAAAGGTATCTCTCTCTACCTTCTGATTTGAATTCTATTTGTTTCCTAGAAGTGTGCATTGCTGTCTCTTGTCTTTCAATGGCATCAGAAAGGGTGGATGTTCTCCCTATTAAATTCAATGGTACAAACTATGCATTATGGAAGTTTAACTTTCAATTCCATGTTGAGGCAAATGGTCTTTGGTTATATCTGGATGGATCTGTAGCTAAACCTGATGATTCAGATATTAAGGGTCTTAATCAGTGGAAGATTGATAATGCAAAAATTGCATCATGGATCCTAGGATCATTTGAAACTGACATTGCAATCCCTGTGAGAGGATACAAGACTGCCTATAAGATGTATAAGTATCTTGAGAAAGTATATCAGCAATCGAACACCTCTAGACAGTACCAAATAGAGGTTTATTAACCTCTGGGCAGAGTATGAGTTAGTACACATAGGAAAGGATTCGTCGGACTGTTGTGTCAAGTATATGAAGAAGCACTTTGATAGAAGGAAGATTATGCATTTCCAAATGCATCTTAGACCTGAGTTTGAAGTTGCCAGATCTAATATCCTGAGCCAAGGAACACTTCCCGAAAAGGAAAGCTTAGACATCTCTTAGGCACGGGACCGAAGGAAGGAGATCCAAGATTTGATGCATGGGACGAAGCTGACTCCATGGTTATGGAATTCAATGAACCCTAAAGTCAGCGACACGTGTATGTTTTTATCCACGGCTAAAGAGATCTGGGATGCCGTCCGACAAACATATTCAAAGGCATGTGATGCAGTAGAAGTGTACGAAATCAAAGTCATGACTGGAGCGACTAAACAAGGCAGCAAGACAGTTACCGAGTACGCAAATTTACTGTAGAACCTGTGGCAAGAACTCGATCATTATCGGTGCATTGAGACTAAATGTGCAGCGGATGTAGCAATCCTAAAGAGTTTTATCGAAAAAGATCGCATTTATGACTTTCTTGCAGGACTCAACGCAGAATTTGATCAAGTTAGGGTCCAGATTCTCGGCAAAGAAGAGGTACCATCTCTAAATGAGACTATCTCTCTAGTTCATGCTGAAGAAAGCCGTAGGGGGGTTATGCTTGAACCCCAAGTACTAGAAGGTTCA